AATTTCCCCCAAAATTCCCGAATTTCCCCAGCGCTGCTGAGCCCGGCCTGTGCCAGCCTGTGCCTGCAGGGGGCGCTGGGGGCGCTGCGCCGCAGCCAATCACCGTCCTGCGCCCGCTTCTGCCGCGCCCTCATTGGCTGCCTCCGCCAGACCGGCCCCGCCCACCAGCACAGGTGAGCGCTGATTGGCCGGGGCGTCCTGCTGGTCTTTCCTCATTGGTTGGGCGCTCCCACTCCCAGTTTCCTGATTGGCTGCTTTCTCGGGGGATGTGGGTGGAGCCACGGTTGCCGTTCTTTGATTGGCTGCTGCTGTGGATCGCCTTTCTTTGATTGGTCGTCCCCTGTGGGTGCTGTGCTGTGATTGGCTGAAGTTCGCCATCCCTTTTCTCTGATTGGCCAGTTCTCCCAATCTTTTCTAATTGGTCGCTGTCCTTGATCCTCTTTCCTGATTGGCTGTGACCTGGGGGTCCTGCTGTCCAATTGGCCATTGTTCCTGATCCCTTTTTTTGCAATTGGCTGCTGCTTTGGATCCCTTTTCAGTGATTGGCTGATTCTCCAGATCCCTTCTCTCTGATTGGCTGAGTCTCCAGATCCCTTTTCTCTGATTGGCTGATTCTCCAGATCCCTTCTCTTTGATTGGCTGAGTCTCCAGATCACTTTTCTCTGATTGGCTGATTCTCCAGATCCTTTCTCTCTGATTGGTCGCTGTCCCTGTCCCTTTTTCTCTCATCTCTGTTTTTCCTATTGGCCACTCTTTGAATCCCTTTTCTCTGATTGGCCGGTCCTCCCGATCCCTTTTTTCCCATTGGCCGCTCCTTTGAATCCCTTTTCTCTGATTGGCCAGTCCTCCCAATCCTTTTTCTCTGATTGGTCGCTCTCCCTGACCCTTTTCCTCTGATTGGCTGCTGCTCCCGATCCCTTCTGCTGATTGGCCGTGCCCCTCACCCCCTACTCTGCTATTGGCCACTTCTCCCGCCTCCTTTATCCCTATTGGCCGCTTCCCCCGACTCCTTTTTTCTGATTGGCCGCCCTCTCTGTCTCCTCCTCTCCCATTGGCCCAGCCCTCTGCTGACGTCACTGCAGGACCCCGCCCACTCCCGCCTCCTGGAGGCGGCCATGACGGCCCTGGACCCCCCGGGGCTCCGGGAGCTCTTCCGGGGTCACCTGCGGGGTCACCTGAGGGGCGTGGCCTCCCACCCCGTGGCCAATCACGGCCTGCAGCGCCTCCTGGACCACGCCCCCGAGGACGTGGTAGGCGGGGCTTAGCTGGGCGGGGCCTTTGGGGGCGTGGTTTACCTGGGAGGGGTTTGAATATGGAAATTAGGGGTGGGGTTTAAAGAGGGAGGGGTTTAAATATGGTAATTAGGGGTGGGGGGTTATGTGGGAGGGGTTAAAATATGAAAATTAGGGGTGGGGTTTATGTGGGAGGGGTTTAAATATGGAAATTAGGGGGGGTTAAAGAGGGAGGGGTTTAAATATGGTAATTAGGGGCCTGGCTTAAACAGGAGCAGTTTAAATATTAAAATTATGGGTGGAAATTAAAGAGGAGGAATTTAAATATGGAAATTAGGGGTGTGTCTTAAATGGGAGGGGTTAAAATATGAAAATTAGGGGTGGGGTTTAAACAGGGAGGGGTTTAAATATGGAAATTAGGGGGGTGGCTTAAACAGGAGGAGTTAAAATATGAAAATTAGGGGTGGGGATTATGTGGGAGGGGTTTAAATATGAAAATTAGGGGTGGGGGTTATGTGGGAGGGGTTTAAGTATTTAAATTAGGGTGGGGTTTAAAGAGGGAGGGGTTAAAATATGAAAATTAGGGGCGTGGTTTAAGTGGGAGGGGTTAAAATATGAAAATTAGGGGCGTGGTTTAAGGAGGGAGGGGTTTAAATATGGTAATTAGGGGCCTGGCTTAAACAGGAGCAGTTTAAATATTAAAATTATGGGTGGGTTGTAGAGGAGGAATTTAAATATGGAAATGAGGGGCGTGGCTTAAGTGGGAGGGGTTTAAATATAGAAATTAGGGGTGTGGATTATGTAGGAGGGGTTAAAATATGAAAATTAGGGGTGGGGATTATGTAGGAGGGGTTCAAATATGAAAATTAGGGGCGTGGTTTAAGTGGGAGGGGTTTAAATATGAAAATTAGGGGTGGGGTTTAAAGAGGGAGGGGTTTAAATATGGTAATTTAGGGCCTGGCTTAAACAGGAGTAGTTTAAATATTAAAATTACAGGTGGGTTGTAGAGGAGGAATTTAAATATGGAAATTAGAGGCAAGGCTTAAATGGGAGGGGTTAAAATACGAAAGTTAGGGGTGCGGATTATGTGGGAGGGGTTAAAATATGAAAATTAGGGGTGGGGATTATGTGGGAGGTGTTAAAATATGGAAATTAGGGGCATGGCTTAATGAGGAGCAGTTTAAATACGGAAATTAGGGGTGGGTCTTAAAGTATGAGGGGTTTAAATAATAAAATTAGGGGCGTGGCTTATGCAGGAGCAATTTAAATATGGAAATTAGGGATGCGGTTTAAGTGGGAGGGGCTTAAAGGGTGGGGCTCAAAGTAGGAGGAGCTTAAAGGGGGCGTGGCTTAATGGGAGCTTTTGATTGGCCGGAAGGGTGGTGGGAGGGGCTTAAATGGGTGGGGTACAAAAGGGGAGGAGCTTAAATAGGGCGTGGCTTAATGGGAGCTTTTGATTGGCTGGAAGAGTGGTGGGAGGGGCTTAAATGGGTGGAGTATAAAAGGGGAGGAGCCTAAGAGGGGCGTGGCTTAATGGGAGCTTTTGATTGGCTGGGAGGGTGGTGGGAGTGGCTTAAATGGGTGGGGTATAAAAGGGGAGGAGCCTAAGAGGGGCGTGGCTTAATGGGAGCTTTTGATTGGCCGGAAGGGTGGTGGGAGGGGCTTNGGCGTGGCTTAATGGGAGCTTTTGATTGGCCGGAAGGGTGGTGGGAGGGGCTTAAATGGGTGGGGTATAAAAGGGGAGGAGCCTAAGAGGGGCGTAGCTTAATGGGCGCTTTTGATTGGCTGGAAGGGTGGTGGGAGTGGCTTAAAGCTCCAAAAACCAAAGGGGCGGAGCTTCGGCTGATGCCTCCAAGGGGATTGGCCGGGGGGGATCGTGAGGGGGCGTGGCTAATCACAGGTGGGCGTGTCCCTCTCCCCCCGCAGGTGGAGGAGGTGCTGTCGGAGCTGGGCCCCGCCCTGGAGGAGCCGCTGGCCCGGGGCCACCCCGGGGTGGTGCTGGCCCTGCTGGGGGCGGCCCTGAGGCACCCCCGGCTCCAGGGGGAGGTGCTGCGCTGGCTCTTCCAGGTGGGACACGCCCCTTTTCCCGTTAGGCCACGCCCACTTTGCGTTAAACCACGCCCTTTCCACATTAAACCACGCCTGCTTTGTGTTTAACCACGCCTACTCGCGGTTAAGCCCCGCCCCTCATTTGTGCCAAGCCACGCCCCCTCATTTAGGCTTATTAATTATAAGCACCACCTATTAATCCAAATAAGCCGCGCCCCTGTCCGTTTTCAGCACATTTCAGACCATGTCCACTTTAAATATTCTAATTAGGCCACACCCCTTTGTCTAAGGTACATCTTCCACTGGCCACACCCATTTTTCTAAGCTACACCCACTT